TTCATTTAACAAATTAAAAATTAAAAATGAATATAAAGATATTAACTTTACAATATTGATATGAACATCAATACTATGTGAAACAAGAATTTACCTAAGTGTAATATAATTAAAGCTTGACCAAGGACCATTTGCCCACATCTTAGCATACAACCCCAACCCTTGTCAGTTGTAAATGTAGAATTGTAACCACCAATTGGTACAAAACCTTTCCGATATGTGAACCATAATTTGGACCTTATATCCCTACGAATTGCATCGAGTTCTGAAATTTGAGTTCTTGCATGTACAATTTTTCAAAAATTTCTTTATTGTAATTATTTATTAGACCTTTTATGGCATTGTATTGTTTCCCAAGAACCCAAACTGGCTCATCTGTTTGTGGTATGTCCTCTGGTTCGTCTGAAATATTCTGCGTGAAAAGACTGTCCATTTTCACAGTTTTTGTGAATACTATCTACTTTGCTTAAAATCCTTCAATGGATTATATGGATAAAATGCTTTGTTCCTCTATAAATATAAAAAAGGAGAGTACAGTTTTTTCCACAAAAAAAAAGTGATTGGAGTAAGGTTAAGTGTTTGTCAAAGAATAATATTTCATATATACAATACGACCACCTTCAGCTTGACAAAACAGCATTGGTCATTGTTCATTGAGCAAAAATTTCATTGTTTTCATAAATGATGAGTATAACGTTATTATTTCACTTTAGAAGAATGTCAACAAGATCATGATATCAACAGTACAGCTGATTAATAAATATCTCAAAGATAGCGCAATAATCGGAAACAGTTCGTATTCTTGTAAGCGTGGTGTCATGTACACGTAAATAATGCATACAGGACGTATATTGTTTAGACTAAAAATATTTTATTTTAAAAAAGTTACTCATGAAATGTTTTTCATATATTAAAACCAGCACATATTAATCCCTCCTATTTGACATTTTTTATTACACTCTACAGAATGCGTATTTTAAATACCTCTTCCTTACGCTAGATGGCATATATTTTCACGTGGAGAACATAGTATATACACAACCACGTGCTATGAGCTTTTTCTTTCTTTACATTACAGGTGTTTATTAGTTTTTCCATTTTGAATTAAATGATAACAAATAACTGATGTTTTCTATCAATTCGATTAGATATATGTTACTTATACACAGGGTGCTTTAAAAAAATTTGTAAACATATGCAGAATTCATACCTGTACACTTTTTCTTTTTTTTCTTTGCAATAGATTGACAAAGACGAGACTGTCTTTGAAACAAAGAAGAAACGTGGTTGCATGGGTGAAGGTCTTTCAACTATCTACGGTGATTCGTAAGAAATATGCAAAACAGTTACTTCCATATAAATATTAACATTTTTTAAGCACCCTGTATAGTAAAAAAAAGTTATAGGTTTCATCATTTATTTAAATAAAAAAATAAAGAGTGTCAACTTTCATATTGAATATCTGCCGATATTAACTGCAATTTCAATAAATGGAAAGAAGTGCCGTTTTTATTTACGAAAATATACTATAAATAAAAATGTTTTTCCTTTTTCATTAATATGTACTAGTAGTATTGGAACTGCGAATTAAAAACCTTTTAAATTCAAATAATATGTATATAAACTGAATATACGTATGTTGTAAACTTTAATGAATTTTAAAAAGTAAAAATCTAGAAGTGTAACAATAAATAATAGATTATTATCCCAAAAATATTACTCACAAATGAATAACAAAATATACAATAGTTTTCATTACAGCAATTTTTATCAATAATTTTGGCAACTATTAACAAACTGTAACGACAAATGCTATTTTTTTATACATTATTGATACCACAGCCAAGGTACGAAATAGACTGAACATCTACATATGTAAATTTGTGTCATACGGTCTGGTGGCTGCATAGCCATCGTTACCATTCTCATGTCACATGCGATGTTATCGATTCAGAATAAAATAAAATTACAACGCTATAGTGGTGGTAGGAATTGTAATTAAGCAATGTGACAATCAATTGATTTGTAAATTAGGATTGATCTATAGAATTGAGACTTCATGAAAGAACAGTGACAGTTTTACGCGGGAAGTCCGACAAATATGTTAGGGTTCATGAAATACGTACAATTGTAATATTTCTGTTAAAGATTTTGTGTTTATAACAGGGATTAAACAGTTACGATATCGATTTCGGTTACGGTTCCTGTATCGACTGTCTATCGATTCCAAAATCGTTCTCAAATCAATTCTCGTATCGATTTTACAGTAATTGAAATCACTAGATATTGCGGTTGTATATTATTATATATAAACATACCTTTCACAAAACCATTATTTAAAAAAAGAAACTGAAATATTTATGCATATTATTTCTTTGCAACGTCGGTGGCCAGTGATGCTGCGGACCTGAAGTTCACGCGATCAAATCCCGACGCCGAAACTTTTCTTTTTTCAGAAGACTTGGAAAAGTTTCCCCTCACTTACACTCTACAATTAATTCATGGACTTTGAAATTTGTTTTGCCCCTATTATATTGAATTCTAATGTTAATCTGTTGAAAAGTGAGAAGTGAGAAAATCAAGATAAAAGGAAAGTAGGACTTCACAGAATTGAAAGTTATTACGTATTTCTTTTTCATAAATATATTAAAAATGTAATGAAAATTAGTGTTTTTATGTTTTCCTTTTGAATATTCCATTCCTTTGAAATATCAAAAATATTAGACATATTCTGCATTGATAATTTTCTTTAATTTTGTCGGAGAAATTCGTGAAAGAAAAGGGAAGAGAATAAAGAAGTAAAGACTAATATAAGCGAGGTCTATACAATTCAAGATCGTCTGTAGGCAAGCAAACCGACCTAAGGGCATCGTAAACCAATATAACTGCATTCGTTTTATTTGCTCCTAGCTCTATGCTCCATTTCTCTCTAGTTCACTGAAAAAACTCCTTGTTACACTGCGGATTTGCCTTGTAAAGAACCATAAACGATACAATAAAGGACAACAGTTTTTAACATTTTCTACATTTATCGATCTCAATGTTTGGAACTATTGTAACTTAAAAAATCGCCGTTCATACTCGTAGAGTGCGCTGCAAAACTGTAACTTTTTCATGAGGTCGGTATTTCAGTTCGTATGATACGAAATCTCGTAAAATGTTCGGTCTATCCTTTATCACGTTTGTGATGGTACTCCGATTGGTGCTTGGTACGAAACAATTTCCAATCTCCTATATGTCCAGCAATTATACTACCTGTACAGTTGACTTCTTATTCACTTAACGTTTCTCATTATTCCGATCAGTTGCTTATAGTGATTCAACGTGAAACACTTGCAAAATTTCCTATTAACCTTTACGTAATGTTATAAATAAGTTTTATCATTTTTTATTGATCATCTTTTATTGTTTCGCTGTGAATTTGTGAACAAATGATAAGACGATCAAGAGGGATTTTTGTGACATTTATGGATTTTATTGCAAGGAGTTACAATTGTAAGCAAATAAAAATAATAGAATATAAGATAACCCTTCCTTTTTAAATGATTCAAGGATCAAAAGACATTTTTATTTCAAATAAAAAAAAA